CATAAAAGAAGTATTTAGAATGTTATCCAAACAGCACAAAATATCCGAAAGACATCCTGGGAAGGCTCTTGGACGTTTTTTCGGAGGGATTTGTTGTATGGGTATCCAACACAAAACAGTTTTTAAAAGAAATAGGATTGTTCAACAAAACATAAAATGCTATAAGTGCGAAAACATGACCATAAATTGATCTATAATTAATCAATTTATTGATCTTATTTAATCCAGCCATGTTGTCCGCCATCTTACACTGCTCTAACTTGCTCTTACCCGTTCTTTTCAGACCCATATATATCTTTGCACTGGTCTGCACTATCTTGAACTTTCTTCAACTAGTACAGTTCCAGTGCAGCCCTAGGTCAGATCGAAAGAACAAACCTAGTACTTAAGTTGATCTTAAATATAAGATCTGACTATGAATACCGGCCTTGGAATCCATGTATACTATGTCCATGGTTTCACCCAAACGGAATGCTACTAGAAGTATACTTTCATGTATACGTCATAGCGTCAGTACTCGCAGTAAATAAAGGAACGCACCCATAGACATCTGTGACACAAAAGCGCACGAGTAGTCTGTTCTTTTCATCTGCACTGCTATACTGGTGCAATAAGCTAAAATGAAATAAAATATATTTGTCTCATTCTAACTTATTGCATCAGTTCAGCAGTGCAGCTGAAAAAAACAGACTAAAAATTAACTTACGCAGAATCATCTCATTGGCTACATGTCGTCTGTGGTAAAATAACATTTGGTACAACAGACTAAGCTAATTAGAATAATTTATTTATCTCTCGAAAATGATATAAATTATATAAAATGTTTGTTTCCTGTGTGTACAAAAAAAAGAAAACAAATAACCAGTTTTGTTCGTCTGAAAGATTTATTATTATATTATTTGTTTATTTATTACTATACTATTTGTTTATTTATTACTATACTATTACTTTATTAAACAGATGTAATTTATCTTGATATCAAATTACATATCATGTAGAGATACAAACAGATAAATTAAAATAGGGATAAACAGTATCTTCAAATAATAAGAGTTATTGACATAGAAATTAATAAACTGTGGACTAACTGTAAAAATCCTTTTATTTTTTTTTTTAATTCAAGATACATAAATTATAGTATATAAATTTATAGAATTTTTATAACACCTGTCCTTCCCCATACTAGTTCTGTAACAATCGTAAGAAATAATTTTCTATGTTAATAAAGCTTTTCAAATTTCTTTTTATGAAAATAATTGCAGTAATACTGTGTAAGCATGCAATATCTTAATTTTATCTCTAGAAGATTATCGTTAATTTGTTTATTTCTGCAAGTTCTCTTTAGTTTATGACATAATTATAACAATTATATTAACATATCTAATTATATTCACTTAAAGTGTCAATAATGCTTTAGAAACAATAGATATTAAAAGATTACAAACCATTAGAGACAGGCTTAGAATTTCTTAAAACTTTTCTTTGAGCCTGTCCCTTTGGAAACCTTTAATACATTAAAGCGAACTGTTTTGCTCAATGGTCTGCATTCTCCAATAGTGACTACATCACCAATTTCTACATCTCTGAAATTTGATAAAGTTTTTGCATATTAGTGACAGTTACACATATTCTTTCCTTTTATTATTATTGTAAACCTTTACTCAGCAATATGATATAATCTTCATAAATAAAATATCTTTGTCAGTAGACCGTCGTTGTTATCATCATTATGAACAAAAGATCAATATTGGAATTGTAATAAAAATTATATGATGATACACATATATACCTGAAGCAGGGACTAAGATGGACACTCATATTCCTATGGCGCTTTTCAAATCGATTATATTTTCTAATATAATGAAGATAATCCCTCCGAATGACTATCGTTCGTTGCATCTTCATTTTTTGCACCACTCCAGTAAGAATTCGTCCTCTGATTGAAACATTACCAGTGAAAGGACATTTCTTGTCAATATATGTTCCTTCCAGAGCCTGTACAGAATAAAATTTCATATTTAGAATTATTATCAATCTTGCATGAGCAATCTTATTTCTGTTTTTAATTAGATATGTCAATAATTGTTAATAATTATAACAATATTAATGTACGAAAGATACCCATAAGGAAATCGGCTAATATATGCAATTAGAAACAGATTATAAATAAAAGCAAATTATACTTACTTCGCGTGGAGTCTTGAAACCTAAGCCGACATTGCGGCTATATCGCATCGGCTTCCTACGTTTCGGACCTAAACCTTTTTTGCGATTCAAAAAAATGGTAGGTTGTTTTTGAAACGCACGTTCGGTCTGCAAACGAAATCACACGAATATACCATAAATTTCCTCCATATTTTTCAGATTCTGTACTTAAGAATTCTAATATACGTGTGCAGATGTAACCACGTGCTGCATTCTCATAACCACGATTTCTCAAACCCACGTTAACTAACATGATCTTGTTATGTAAAGTTTTCCTTATATTTATTTGTAATGTTAACTATCGCGAAAATAAAAAATATTTTTGCAAAGCAATTCCGTTATACGAGAATATATACATATTCTCAAAACCGATGCATACCTGATCCGCCATCCTAATAGAATCTTCTACCTCATGAAATGAGAAAAGAAGGTCGAACTGCGTGAACGAAAGTAGTTCTGATTCGTGTCCCTTAATTTTGCGCACAGAACACGGCAACGTTGCCACGCGGCGGAGGTTCACGTAACAGCCAATCAATATGTTGTTTTTCCGTGAGAACTACAAGGTTATTACGGAAAGCAGCATATTGATTGGCTGTCGCACGAACATCCACTGCGCGGCAAGCGTTGCCGCATCCTGTGGGCAGTAGCCATAAAAGACCATCTATGACTGCGTTCAAATTCCATACTCGGGTGCACTCTAATGGCTTCTGCACACAGGACGCGGTAATGCTTGCCGCGCGGCGAAAGTCCGCGCGATAGCTAATCAATATGTTGTTTTTCCGTAAGAGCTACAAGGTTATTACGGAAAGCAGCATATTGATTGGCTGTCACACGAACTTCCGCCGCACGGTAAGCATTACCGCGTCCTGTGTGCAGGAGCCATAATAATGGGTGCTTTCCAGTTGCATACGCTGTGTTACACAAAACCAGCTTATTGGTTATATATTATCTTACAAGATATTTTAGATAATATGTGACCAAAACTGGTTTTGTATACGTGTGTGTCAAGGTGTGTCAAGCAATTGGAAAGCACCCATATGTTCGACTGACTCTGGGTTAACCCACTCTGGGTTATTTAGCCTACGTTTATTGGTCAAACAAGTATTTATAAGCTTTATGATTGACTAGTAGAGATTTATGACATCATTAATCGCTCTCGGAGCGATTAACCCAGGGCCAGTCGAACACGCTATAAAATTCAACTTATGGTTCCTGCACACAGGACGTGGTAATGCTTGCCGCGCGGCGGAAGTCCGCGCGACAGCCAAACAATATGTTGTTTTTCCGTAAGAGCTAGAAGGTTATTACGGAAAGCAGCACATTGATTGGCTATCGCGCGAACTTCCGCCGCGCGGCAAGCATTACCGCGTCCTGTGTGCAGAAGCCATAAGGTAAAGAATGAAACATGGGCTGGTATTCATAATCCGATCTTATATTTAAGATTATCTTAAGTACTATCTTAAGATGCTATGAACCAATCACAGAACCGTATTCGCATTTTAAGACATTACTTAAGCAGTCTTGAGATAAAATATAGTATATTCAGTATAAAGTAATACTAATATGAATATAATACTATCCTTGTTACTACATGTAGAATACCATTGTAAGCTTTTTATCATTTCTATAGTTTTCCTGTAGTTTAATTAATAAAGGTAATTATTTAGTTTAAAGTCCTTACACTAAATTTAAATAATCACAAAAAAATATTTTAGAAATAATAGATATAAAAAAAATTACAAACCACTATTGGAAAGAGTGATCAGGACTTTTTTCTTTTTTTTTCTATCTTGTTCTTGTAACATTTACACGAATGATAAGGGTATTGAAAGAAATTAAACATTATTAAGGAGCGATATGCTCTTTATATTCAATTTTAGAAGTATACTTTAAAAAATTTCAGTAAGAAACAATTGTACATATTTACAATGATACTTTGAGTATGTTTATACATACACATAGTTTAACAATATATTGTCCTGAAGTGGAAGTATCATTGTAAAATTTATAATTTATTTTTCTAGAGAGAGAAGACTTAATTTTTTAGAGTGTGTATACATATTTTTAATATATTATATTAATATAACATATCAAAATATACATGATCATATAAGGATGAGAATTTTGACTCAACAGGTGTTAACTATTAAGCAAGGTATAATACTAATATATTAATATAATATATTAAGCATACATATTGAATGTGTTCCTATAAAAAAAAATTAAATAATTTCTTATCAGATTATAGAGAAGAATGTAATAGGCCTCATTTATAATATATCCATTATTAAAGTACTCTAATGAATAATCATTTATATAAATTATATAAATATTATTTTACGTAATGTTTTAAATCAAAACCAATAATGGACGGCTTATAATTATAAGAAGGCACTAATATTTATGTAAAAATATTTTCTCTTTCTATTCATCACGATTATATAACAAACTGATAATTTGGCCACATGTAATGTGATAACTCAGTTCATAAAAATATGTTGCAAACTGTCGTCAATAGAGCATTAATAATATAATATTTCTATTAAAAAGCTCAGTATAAAAAGTTTTGAGATTCTGGTATTATTATAATAGATGTTAATGTATCATTATAATAGACAAGATAGAATAAAAAAATATTTATAATATAGATAAAAAGATCTACTTAACTGAGAAATTAGAATAGCTATTAATAAATTAAAAGTATTATTATAAATATTCTTTAGATCTGTACACACTGTAAAAAATAATAGCATTTCCTTATAATTTGTAACTCCAATGTAAAATTTCAGTAATTGCATTGTCTAGTAATTGCATTTACATAGAAAATACAATATCTTCTCTTAGCTTTTTACACTAATACATTTTTCTCAGTTTTCCATGTAAGAGTAAGTGTTTGTGTAAAAACATCATCAGTCAGTTGTAGTCACATTTTTCTTCAATGTTGGTTCAAATGCCCTTGTTATATATATGTATATATATATAATAGGAATTACAAAAACTACTAGGAAAGCACACATGAAAAGTTGCCTCCACGACAATCCACAATCATCTCCAGAACAATTGAATATATCCTTCATTATTCCCGTACGTCTATTGCTAGGTAAACTATTGGTTTCTGTACTCGAAATTTTAATGCTATTGTTGTGTGTCAACAGAGGTGTACATACTGAATTTAATATAATTGTATTAATTTCACTACCTGAAGATTGTGTATTCGTTGAAAGAGCTTTCAAACTTAATTCATCTTCCGTAGATTCTTCTTCACTATCTTGAGCGGATGCATTATTATCACATTCTTTTTTATCAATTAATGTTTCAGTTAAAACAGAAAATGGTTGTACAGGTACCTTAATACAAGGTTTGGCATGTATTTCATTCTCTTTGTCAATTTTATTAATTTGTTTCAGTGCAGATATCTGAAATTATGCAAAAATATTAATACAATAAATAAATGTATACTACGTATAGACTATATTATCCACATACTGTACAACTATAACGAAGAGCCAATGCTTGCAAGGTATCACCAGGTTTTACTTCTACATTGATCACTTCAATTTTACGAAACTTTGATGTAGATTGATTGACATTTAATAGAATATTGTTCTCATCACAGTCTTCTTCTTCTAAATATATATAATGTGAGGAACTTTCCTTTTGGTTTCCACGTAAATGAATTCCTTGTCTATAAATATTCATCATTATTATCAGTGATATATTTAACATATATTTCCCTTCCCACTTATCTCTTTATCTATCTCATATTAAATCATACAAATTATCTCAATTAAATTTATTATAATTAATTTGACAAAAATTATTAATCTTGTTTAAAGGGATACTTTATTAAAGATTACTGACTACGATTGACTATGTATGTATATTAATATAATTTAGATAAGTACCTGTTCATAATTCTGCCACAAGAGTGTTACATAAATTTAAAAGATAAAATGATAACGTCAAAGTATTAATTAGTTAGATAACCTCAAATTATAATTACAAGACGCTTCTGCGTTCCTCGCGTATTGTGTTCACTGATTTCTGTGGCATTCTGTCATTATATTTAAAACTCGTTTTGTGTAACAAGGATATTAATTCACGTGCCACGTCTATGTAGAAGGTTAAATATGAAAAAAAAATTGTCGGAAACACTGTTATGACAGACGGGCGCACGCGTACATAGCAGACAGTTGATCTGTAGTTTGTCCTTTTCAGCTGTACAAGTTAGTCTCTAAGTTAGAATGAGAGAAGTATATGTTTATCTCACTCCACTTATTGCATCAGTACAGCAGTGCAACTGAAAAGAACAGACTGTCATGTTAGGTTATGTTAGGTTGGGATTATCTTTGCTAGATGATATGTGTTTAGTGTTCTTCATACCGTTTAAATCAGTAATTGTTGTTCAAAATGATGGAATTTTCGGAAGAAGGTGAAAAACTCAAGGATAAATCTCGATGCGCGAATATTCGTGCTGATCTAAAGATGTGTCTGCTTGAAAGTGATTGTTGTAAGATTGTAAGTACATATGAATTCGAGCGGATATAACCTAATATATGTGTGTACGTTCTTGCAGTTATCTAAACGCACATAAATAATGTTTATAACAAATAACGTCTTTCTTGATAGCTTCTCCATAGACACGATTATTTAAGTGAATATAAATAAGTATATGTTTGAACGCCACAAATACATTATATTCTCTAATTCATATGATAAAAGTTGTATTAAAAAGCTTTAAAGTACACAGAATATACATTTTTACATCGATTTAAACAAAATTTGATGTTATCTGCATATTTAGGTAGACAGAATATGAAACTGATTAAAAATATGATTAAGATCATAGTTATAATTGTGTGGAACTGATAACACAGATAGCAAACATATATAAGGAATGTTATATCTGATAATATATATTTAAAATAATATAAGTTCTGTTTTTCTGTACAGCACAAGCGTACACCCAGGGAATGTCTTAAGATGCGTGATGGCACAGTACCTGATGAATGTTATGCTTTGCGCAATACATTCTTTGATTGTAAACACTCTTTAGTAAGTATTCTAAAGTTTATATATGGAATTGTAAATATTAAAAAAATAAAACTCTTTAGTAAGCATTCTAGAGTTTATATATGGAATTGTAAATATTAAGAAAATAAAAGTATTTTCTAAACTTTGGATATAAAATAAAATTAAAGATATTAAATATGAAATTCAAATATCAATAGTTTTATTTCTCTTTTTCTTATAGCTTGATGGGAGACGACGTTTTCGTGGACCCAAAGGATATTAGTTAGCAAAGTAAGATATTGTTAATTTCTTATATTTTACCAAATAATCAATGTCGGCAAAAGTATTGCATTTCCACTGGATATTTCATGAAGAAATATCCTATATACATACATATATATGTATAATATTGATATATATATTTTTTTGGGAAATGCGCGAACATGACTCATTGATGAAGGCGGGAAAATATGTGATTTCATTTTAGAAGTAATTTATTAATCCTTCGTCATATTCGTTGTACACGATTTTAATAAATGTATTATATTTACCAAGCAACAACGCGCCGTACAATTCACCGCATTTGTTCCATGCGTCATGACACAATTTCCATCGAGATTCCTGTTTCCTCATGAAATGATCCATTGTCAATCCTAACTGAGAAATACGATGTTTCGTACGACCGTGCAGTCACTTTGAAAAGATATACTCCTGTATAGAGCAAAAGTTCTTTCGTAGATAAAACGTGAAATGCCGCGTTGCTTCTCGAAGAACAAAAGCGGTCGTATTTTAACCCTTTCAGTACTTCCGCGCCATGTATCGCATGCGTTCGTATTAATAATTTTGTAGGAGCAGTACAGAGCTTTACCAATTTTTCTGCAGTATTAGTTCAGCAGTATCGTATATAAAAGCAAATAAATTTTTAGTAGTTGAGTTGGAAATCAGTAGAAATCAGTAGGCGGATCTCATAATTCTACTGAAAGGGTTTTAATATGGTATCCAGTCTTTTCTTAAAATAGCATTGCGTTTAAGTTTTCTCTAAGTATGTGTACGAGAAAAATATCGTGCAAAGTCCAAACATATAAATATGCAATGAAAAAAATGCGAATATAATAACCACATACGTTTGGTTGACGCGTTTGGTTGAGTTTGATCATAATGAATATTTCTGTCTGCGAATGACACGCGTATCGTAGACTGGACACCATTGGCTGACTGTTTAATGTACTGTATCTCACAGTTGTGCTTTTTTGAGTCGCACACATGGATGCGGGTATCGAACATGATACGCGTATGATCACAGTAGAATCGCGAATTTTTTTGTTTTTCTTACTTCCTTCTTTTTTCTTATAATTAAGAGCATTTGTTCCACTTTGTGTTCAGCGAGTACGAACTCGGCGTATGATAAGCACGCCGTTTTACGCGGGTATATCGATTATGTTATTAAAAATCTACCAGATGACGATTACGCCTGCGCAATCGTCCTAGCTATTGTCTGTATGCAACAAGCGTATATTGGCTATACGATTTTCTTTTTTCTCTTTTTCTTTTCTTTTTTTTTTGTACTACGATGCCAACTCACGCTACTCTCACTCCCTAAAATGGCTATAGGCACCTAAAAAATGGGATCTGCATAAGCTTTTCCCGCGTATGCCTTCGTTCTACTTTCTCTCTCTCTCTCTCTCTCTCTTTCTCTCTCTCTCTCTCTCTCTCTCTCTCTCTCTCTCTCTCGTATGTACTTGGAGAAAATCTTTAAATTGAACGTGGGTAAAATACAAATTCGTGAATGGTACAATTCAAATACAACAATTCGTATGAACAAAGTGATGATCATAAGTAAGTAATTTTCGCGACCTTTCATGGTAAATTTGTTTCGATAGAACGATTGAAATTATTGTTAAATAATATGAAATAACGTAAAAACGGGTGATTTAATATTGCCTGTTCTATCTCTCTCTATCTATCTCTCCTCTCTCGAATATGATAGTGAATATGATAGATTTTCTTGAGAGAGCAAACTTTGTAACGATAAAAAAATAATTTTTCTATGGCGACAAAAGTACAAAGGCCACAGAGTACGACGCATATTTTGTCGGAACTTCAACATTTGCAATATTTGTAATTTACCCACATTTCCGCACTTTCTGCCAATCGAATTCCGCGAGCGTCAATAATCCGCGTACGGATATGTGTTATCAAATACGAAGATAATCGATAAAAGAGACTTGAAGTTGCAATCTACCGCGAATCGATCTTTCGAAGTTCCAACTACCACGTGCCTAAGTCACCTAAAATTGAGTAGCATTTCAAGAATAGTTTCAAGAGGATGTTTTTTTCCCATTGTGATATATACGCCGCTCGCCCGAATATCACAGTTTATCGAGTATGATATGTAGTTAGCGATTATTCGATAATTACCAATAGTAGTAAAAGTATGTCGCGTGTGTCGTTATGTTTGTGTGTCGCGATGCTCGTAGGGTGGTCAAACGACTCCAAACGGTTAATGTGTATCTCATTATCTGCTTTTCGCTCTAACTTTCCGAAATAATCAAAAATTCTCACATTCTAATCTATACTTGATGATTTGTTCATTTCGGACATCCTTCCTCATGTTACGCATATTACAAGCCTCTTCCGTCACGTCGATTTTTATTGCTAATCGTTCCACGTCCATCTTGTTTTCCGTTCGTTCGGCGACCCTACCAGAGCAAAGCTCGCTTGCATAATGAACGAAATAGTAAAGTCGAAAAATACAAACAGGTCCAGTGGCGTGTCTAAGTCGAGCATGCAGGCCGTTTCGTCGATTTTCGACAAGACTTGTCTAAAGCGTATACGAAGTTGCGTTCCTTATAATAGATAGTACGATAGGAAATCACAGTGTCTCGTTCATTAGCGGCGTTCATTACGATATTCTTCGATTCTGGCAAATCGATGTCGCGTTTTCCTTCTTGGCACCCGCTGCTGCTCTAATTGCGTATCTATAATCGAAATAGGCAGCAGTTAGAAATGAAATTATCGTTGCTGACAAAAACTATTTGTACTGCACCACAGTACTGTAAAACAGTGTCGATATCGATAAATTCGAATAATAAGATATAATAAAGAGAGCATTGAAACGCTACAATACCGTTTCACTCGGATTTTTCTGCGGAGATGCACGTGATGCGATTCGAAACAATGTCTCTCGCAAATTCTAACAACTGGGTGAGGAATCAGAAACACACGGAAGGCCTGTAGAGTCCGGTGTATCCGCATAGGCGTGCACGAAGCGCCGGCAGAAGTATCGCCGCCGCCGATAGATTGTCTTGCAGCTGCGAGCACTCGCAGATCAGCAGATACATCTTGTCGCCCTGCGACATCGATTTGTGCAACGTGATGCGCCTGAGGCCCACCGATTTCGGCAGATATCGGTACATCATACGCGCGCCTGCAACACAATAAAAGTACGCCTCACATTACATAGTGCCGACAGAAAAAATTTTAATCTCTCTGGGAGACACATTCGGACGAGTGAAACTCGCAAGAGAGGGACCTGTCATTTTGTGAATAATTGACAAATTTGAAAAATGACCGAGGAACATTTTATCGTATCGTAACTCGAGATGAACTTTCGCGTTGATAGATCTACGTTTGTAAGATCTCGAGATATAACTCAAGAGCACATCACCGATGCGAAAAGAGATTGTAATTAGAAAGCGTGCTCGCTCACCTGTCCAGTAAAGCCAATTTTGTTCGAACTTCAGGCCATCGTCGCCCTCGAAAACTTTGAAAATTGACACTATATAGCCGGTGGACGGAATAGGCGGTCTTCCACCGGGTGGCTCGAGTGGCGGCCTCGCGATGGTCGCTACCTCGTTGAACAGATCCAATGTGTGACTTGCCGCGTATCTGAGATCTCGGGGATCGAACTTACGTAGGGCCGCACATTGCACTTCGTTGTAAAAGTCCACGGGGTCCGTGTTCTGCTTGTTTATTAGATAATACGTGATGAACGGGAAATCCGCTGAAACGCACGGGAGCTCAGGTAAACGATCTTAGAAGGATTCTCGGTCGTTACGTTGTTTACTCGGATTTTGTCGGTACGGAGTTGGTCGCAAGATCATTCTGACGGCATAATTGTGCATTAGCATTTCTGTTGCATCCACATATCTGAGATGCAAGATACGAATAGTGATTTTAGAAAACATTATTGGACAAGATTTTACATTTTCATAGTCGAAAAATTTAAATTAAAATAAGAGAAATCGCTCGTTGCGCGGTCCGTATCGTAAAAAGTGTTGGGCTGTTTTCACGAGCAAATTTACGAGCTTCTTGTATGTCAGGGCCGTTAATAGATTGCGTCTCGAGTGTCTCGATCCACGAGATGCGCTTTACACCCCAATTACGTACCGTTCTTCTCCATGTTTGTAAGCAAAATGCTTTGCGACGCGGAAGGGGCTATCTCGGCGACTAGTTCCGCCGCTGTATCGCGTTGCAGCACCAGCGGACGGGACACTGGAGACTCGACCAAAGGGTCCAGAGCCTCCAGCGGCGTCATAAAATGCGCGAGAACACATTGTTTCGGATCCTCTACCTCCAGAACCGACAAGGGACTGCCTGGTCTCTTCTTGTCGGCGACGGGAGCGTGCTGCGGACAGAAAGAACTCATCAAAATTGGATAAGACTTGAAATCGAAAACTGAAACTTAATGTCGGATATGATGAGGAGAAGCGAGTGGTAATTTTTCACAACGATCCTTGCGTGTACGCGACAGTTGCGTAATTGCTGTTTCATTAAATAATAGCATCTGTCGGCGCGTCGCGACGTATAAAACTAAGTTTCATTACGGGTTGTCTAGTGGATGTACCGCAACTATTTTTAGACATTCGATGTTCGCGTACGCAAGGTCGCGGCTCGTACGAGTCTAAGGCCAATAGCTCAGTCGATGTAGTTTTGGCATTCGCTTTTCTCGCAGTGATAGCCCTTAGCTACGCGTTTACGCTTTCCCAAACGTATCAAATAGATCTCTGATAACGATATTTTATTGATAGACCGTCTATTGATAGATATATTTTATTGATGGACCGTCGTCGAGATTTGAGCTAATATTAACGAGCCAAAGCCCAGGCAAATCTCATCATGAATGTGCGCCTCGCTTCTTTGGCTTTTTTTTTCTCTTGGGTTTTAGCTCGTAAAGCAAAGGCGAACTCGATTTAAGCGAAAGCCAAATCGATTTTTCCGATAACTCACCGGCACGCCCGCTGGTAAAAAACGCTCGAGAGAAGCGAGAGGTATGATAAAACAGTCGCGGTCCAAGGTGGCCAAGGAGATTGGTTCGCCTCGCGGTGGACTGTTTCCGGAAACTACGAGGGGCGTGTAGGTACCGGAAGCACGATTACCACTGAAGGACACCTGCAAGCCGTAGCACAATTAGAGAATTATAATAGGAGCACGTGCGGCACGCTAATGTCCACGATTAAACGCCACGAGAGACAGTACCCTCGCGCATCAATTATGTACACATTTAATATCTCACACTGGTATGAGGCCTATAGTGTTAGTCACCGCGTTACAAGGTCGACACGAACATCGGTAATTAAATGAACATCCGAGACATCAGTCGGAAACACGCGCGAGATGAAGGCTCCTCGTTCGGCTCGCCGTTTAATCGCAATCCTAATTATTATCGATGTCCAAGCGTTCGATTTCGTCCGGCCAAACGTTTGATCTCGAAATTAAATTCTCGTTTGAGCAGGATGCGCTCGGCATTATCCTCGTTCTATAATTCAAAAATTGAACTTTCCGCGAAATTTTTCCAGGGGGATCAATGTCGCGGTTTACGAGGCCGTGTCAACCACTATTGCTGAGTTAAAGCTGGAAAAGCCGGGACATATTCGCGCGCGTGCGAACATATCTAGCAGAAATGTTGAAAGCAATAGTAAAGATGTCAAGGTAAATACGTGCCCGAATTAAATGAAAATAGGCTGTGGATATAGACTGAATGCCGTGGCTACATTTACACGTGCGCGGCCGCCGTAGTCTGACTCGAGTCATCTCTTTCCACTTGCGCCCGGCGCTTCGGCCCGACTTCGCGTTTCTTAGCGTTTTCACGTACAGCCTTGGGCACCCGTAGGCTTTACAGTTTTATAGTTCACGTACGCGCGATGCAGCATGGTTACGTTGCATGTCAATTTTACAGCGAGCCCGGCGTTAACGATTGATCACGCCGCTTCGCAATTTTTCATTGCGGCCGGTGGACCGGTCGGTCGCAAAGGTATCGCTTCTTATAAAACAGAAACGTGTCGGACACGGCGTACGCGAAAGTGTACCAGCGATGAAAAAGTTAAGGGCAAGAGAAGAAATGAGATATAAGAGCTCGAGCTCGAACGAATTTTATTATCGGAAATAATGCGCGGAACGAACGCTGGTCAAAGCTCCAAATGTTCTTTCAATTCTCAGGATATTGAAACGGAATAACGATGCTACAAAGAAACTTATTATTCTCTGCTAACGTCGTGTGTCGAACTTCGACTAACATTCGCTTCTGGTGAATAATTCCCGACAATCGAATTCGCACCGCTTCCGACTTCTTCATTACACCAGAGATATGAACCGCGGCGCGGAATTTCCACATACCTCTTCTCTTAACTCTCATCTCTCAACTCTTGATCTCATAATCCAACTTCCGCTATAAGACACAGCGGAAACGTTCCGCGATTCCCTACGCACCGATACGCGCATCGCTGACTCGGTGTGTTAACGGGGTGGTACGTGCATAGGAAGTGCACAAGCACATATGTCCGCTAATATATTGCACGAAGTGTACACACGCGGTAGAACTACCGCGATCGATAACAATTTACATGCCGTTTAATGTGCAAAAATAGTGTGTCGGACAGCGTCGTGCTACGCCCGCTGAATTTCTCTATTTGCATCGTGCCCGCACGCACGGCACGCAGCGGTATACGTCGTCTTTACACTCCGCAAAGTTCAAGTCCCACAGTCGCCGTTACTTCTAAATATACGACCCGATCGCTTTATCGGTGATCGTCGTAAAATAACGTTCGCTGTTTACATTTCCCTCACGAGCAAAACCAAAAGTTGACTGTCATCTTATTGAAGAATCTTGCTAAGATAAACGGAATTGTGGTAATTTCAACTGTAATTCGTTTATATTTCGGATATTTAGTCGATCCAACCAGACTCTTTTTCCGTGCAGTTGTAGGCGCAAAGTATTCAATTAACCCGTTATTAAATCATCAATTTAAATTGATTTTCCATAAAAAATCAACGAAAGAAAGCTTTGACAATTTTTTATTGTATCTTTAAACTTATACACGAAGAAATGCGAAGATTCTTCTTTTACACATTTATAAAATTGTGCGTTAAATATTATCGTTTGAAAGAATTTCCCGACTCAACCGAGCTTGATGGTTAGTCGGCGAATTATAACCCGTTTGCACGCGCTTTTCAGAGCGCGAGCTTTTATATCGCGCGTTGAGCTATGCATGCGTTTTGTTTGCGAGCTAACGCACATTTTCTCTGTATTCACAGTCTCGCGTCACGTAAGCGGCGTGCGCGCAATATTGCGATGTTTAATCGCGTTGCGTTGCGTACAGTACGGCGCAGTAAATGTCCAAGGTGCGCATCGCAAAAGTCAAAGGTCGCCACATGACACTGCAGTCTTCAAGACCGTGCAAAGCCGCAGCGATACTTCAATCGCGAATTTTCGCGGCCATTCGTGTGTTCCCCGTTGATCACGCGAGAAGTTCCTCGCGAACTCCATGCATCTTTTTGTATTCTTTTCCGGTGTTCTTCGCGTCCGGGTCGGTCGGCGTAATCGCAAGGATGGAATAAACGCGAAGCGGCAACACGTTCCAACGGTGGAATCACGCTATTTTCTCGTGATCACACGACGTCTCTGTTTAAAGCGCTGTTATCTTTCAATAATTACACAATCAGCCGGGAAGCGAGGAAACGTTATCGCCGCGCATTCTCCGCTGGAAGGGGTTAAATGTTCGCCGTTAAATTTGCCATTTGCCGTCCTTTCGTGTAGCTTCGCGGCAGTCTCGTCGTGCCATTTACGTAACGCGCCTGTGGCCCGAAAATGTCTCCTCTCATGTGTAGAATACGACACACTAAATGTCCGTGAAGACATCGCGGTGGAATGCGATACGAGCGCGGGGGTCTTGGCGAACGGGCGAACGAGCTCGCACAATACGAACGTTAAGTATCGAACAGTCGCGAGGCTTCCCTCGCGGGGAAATTTACGGCGCGTCCCCCGGATCCTGGCGTGAGCGCGCAATAAGATAGCGACTTTGCGTGCTGTTCGAGCTCGCGCACTGGGTGCAACTTTGTGCCTCCCCTTTTCCGCAAACGGTCCCCCATTTCCTCCGCAACTTCGCTTTATTACGAAATTCCTCGCTGCCCGATGGCCCACTTTAAAGAATGGCGCGTTATAGCGCGCGGATCCAATAATAGCGACAGCAATCGAGAGTAATTAGCCCGTCGAGAGACGCCCAATATTTACTGAGGTCAGCATCCGGGGGGAAGAGGCTCTAGTCTCCTAGATAACTCCTTTATTATTTAAGGGAACATCTCGGCCGCGCGCGACATTCATCTCCCGGATCAGATAGCTCTAATGACGAGCTAGCGGCAATCGTGGATTAATCTGTTTCCACATCGTCGCGGGGACGTCGGCGTTTCGGTCGATTGCGAGAGATATCGCTACAATTAGGGTTAATTGCTTGGCAAGTGCTCTTCCAAGTGCGCGACTTGCGTTATGAGATAAACGCGTTCGATACTTTATTAGGCGTATCATTTTACATCGTATACGCTACAACTGTCAGATTATCGTTGCTTAATGAATAGTTCAGCCGTCAGCAAGTGAACAGGTAGATCGAGGTATCTTATCGTGCTAATTGATGCATTAAGAAATAATGCAATACCTCTAAGCGAAGGACGCAAGGGGTTTGATAAATCAACAGTCCAGTACATCAGCAGATTCTTTGGTTCAATTTAATTTCTCGACAAATCATGCTTCGCAAATCTTTCAATAGAAACTTTTAAAATTCGGAAATGTTATCACTTGGCACTAGAGTTAGGATCTTAGTCTCTTGGCTAAGATGATTCGAACGTAAATGATGAACTCGTGGACTTTTATTGTCGACGTGTTTCGTCGTTGACGAAACCACCAAATACACCGAATCAAAGGGACAAACGCGCTCATCAAGCCTCTCTCCCGATCCTTTTCCAGTTCCAACTAAAAATCCCGCACCTACCTGCCTGGACGCGGTCGGAGTCGGCGGGTCGGAAGTTTCCTTCTGCTGACCGATCTGGTTCTGCTTCCTCCTGGCCTGGCTGGCGGTCTGCGCGCCCTGCGCGGAGGCGACTGGCCCACCGCCACCCCATTTGATCACATGCGGGCCCGAGTTACGACGCGGCGGCGGGCCCAGCCGCTCACCCGAGTCTTCGGGCGGCGAGCCGAGCGTCCCACCTGCGGGCGGCGATAGGAACAGGTGAGTGCGATATCCGTGTCCCTGGTGCTCGTGATCGCCCATTGATGGAAAGTATCCGAACTCCCGGCTGCGTCGTACAGGCCCGCGCGCGCCGCCGACCACCGACTGGCCGCCGATGCCGCCGCCGATGCCGCCGCCGCGCGCCGCGCCAAAACGCGTCCCTAACTGGCCGAACGAGGGCCCCCCGGGGGTACTGTAAGTGGCGCCCAGGACGGGCCTGACCTCCCCCAGTCCTCCTCCACTTCCTCCGCCGCCACCACTGGGTCCCTTCTCGGCCCCGAAGTTCTTGCGGAACATAAGATTCATGACTGATTCGGTGCGCTCGGGTCTCGGGGCTCTCGCTGTCGGCGTTCTCGCAATGTGTGTGGTGTGGGTGTGGTATCTTTTTTTGCGTTTCTATTTCTTGGCTGTTTTTTTTTACTTTTCTCTTTTTTTTTATTTTTTTTTGCTGTTATGCGAGCCGATACATTTTCTCGGCCGACGGCGGGTGCTCGAGGATGCGCGTGGAAGAGTGGCAGTGGCGGTGACGGTGTGCGACGATCACAAAGAGGGGTGGGGGGCGAGGTGTAGGGATGCTTATAGCGTTTCTCTAGAACTTCCCTAAATCCCGGTATTACGATCTCGTGTGGGTTTTGCGGTTTCTCCGACGAGGGCTGTTTTGCCCTCTTTTTTTTATTGCTTGCCTTTTGTACGGTTCTGGACACGCTGACGACCGTCTAACTCATAGCGGTCTGTGCTATGAGACTAACGATCTCGACGCGTCACGAACGCCGACCTGGCCGTACGACTTGGTCGCGCTTGAGCCAGGGTGGAATCGTCGTGGCGGCTCGTCGTGCGACATTTGGATCATCAGGCCGCTCGTGCGACGACGTGGATTGCGAATCCCGGTGAAACGAACTCGCGGAAGCGCGCTAAAGCGAAGAGACCCCGCGAATTTATATCCGATGTGAATTAGGTTGTCGTCGCGCCACCTTCTCGAGTGTAGTTTAGTCCGCTGTTCGCGTCGAAGAACGCGCACTCGTGAGGGTAGCTCGCGTAAGTCACCGGTCGCAACTCGCGTTTACGCAAAACGTTACTAATACGATCATGTAAACATCAGCGACGGACTCGTTCCTTTGCACACAACTGTCAACGGATAAACAAACAACGTGTCGTGGAGTTCGCTGTCGCATGATACACCTAGCGTCGATAGTCTTTCACTTTTCAAACAAGCTTCATTGTGACGTATATCATCGCCGTGCAATACACGAAAAACCGTGAAGAGAAGAGAAAAGAAGAGTAATCAAAAGATTAAAAGAAACGCGCGGGAAATCGTCGAGCTATTATTCCCAGCCCGTCGATTCTCGATCCGAGGCTACCTTCCGTTGCTTTTGCGTAGGACCTTTACAACGCGACGGATTTAGCGGAATCGTGTGGCAGTGTGTATCGAATAGGTTGAGGTTATCGAACGAAACTAACGATAATTTCAGCGCGCAAGGTCACGGCGCGCCTCGTCCGTCTTTAACGTTTCCCTTCAGTCCGATACATTGCAACTGACGACAAAGAGCTCGCGTCGTCGGGTCGATCGGATAGGATATTAATTTCATTGTTTACGAAAATAGCCATGTTGAACTGTTTAATCCAGTCTTTAGTGGTATCGAATTATCTGATGTTTAATCGACTCCCATGTCTAACAGTTGACGATTTGCGCACTCAATTTTTACGTGAACGCATTCGGGCTCGAGGCAGTTAATAGATGTCCCTCGCGACATTCCCACTCTGTATCCCGGATTAATTAACATGAAGAGTCTCGATTGTCCGCGAAGTGTTAATGCGCAGAGTCGGATTAAGAGCGACGCGACGCGCGAGTCAACTGACGTTCGCCTCTTCGAGGGAGAACTGTCTCGTCGTGGGAACGGCACGAACTTTAATAGCGAGTCTCTCGATTGATCTAAAGCAGACCGCTTTGTCACGATAGCACACGGCGCAGGCATAGGTGCGTGAAAACGAGAGATCGGCTTCGATCCGCGCGGTTTAATGCTCAGTGTTTTATTCAATAATGAGGCGAGGGGTACAATTTGTATTGACTAGGCTTCCTCAAATATTTTTAGAACGGATCTCCTACGCGACCGAGGGGATATACCAATCTAAAACGAATAAGCTTCCAGCCCGCAAATACACTTAATTCCCGAGCCGACATCAACGGCACACGCGACTAGAGGGTGAGGGTTTACAGAAGTGTTTGCTGTGATGTTGAAGCGCGGGTTACTCGACGAATCTTGCGCCGGGACGTTACAACGACGGCGCGCTTCGATGGCGTTAAAATTTCACGAAGAATCTCCGATGAGACGATCGGTAAATTTAGAATTCGCGGCGCGTACTTTGAAATGCTTCCGGATTTACTTGGCGGAGCGCGAGCTGAAACTTTCGCGGACTAGCAACTTCTTTGAAACACGTGCTCGATTTACTCCTACGTATATCGATGCAAATTAGTTAACGAGGTAAACGTCTTTTTATTATTTCATCCGATCTATAGCTGGAAGTGTGCGACTGTGTGCGGGTTTTAGTTTGCGACGAGGTCATTTTTCCTTGTATCGATGCAAAGTGTTACTTTCAAACTGGTGGGCGAGAGATGTTGGCGCGAGTTTTCCGAGGAACGGAAAGAGCGAGGGCTTTTCACTCGGTATAAATCGCGGCGCGTCGCGATGTATCATTCGCGTTCCCGGTGTCCCGACGTTGGGCGTGTAACGGCGCGAAAATTCTACCCCGGTTTGTCTGAAACAGACGGAAGTGCCGGGCCGGAAAGGTAGATCACTTGAGCGTTTTAGTTGGTAATTACGTGCGAAAGAGAGGGAGAGAGAGAAAACAACAGCTGCGCGAACGCTGCGTCACTGCGACAATGAACCGGGAAAGAATTTATCCCGGCGTTGCGCGCCAGGGAATCCTCGGATCTCGCTCCGCCGTCGAGTCACGTAGCGCGGAGAGAATTCAACTTTTCTTGGTTAAAGCAAGTGCCGGGATCGAGATTTAAACCCTGAGCTTACCGCGTGTACTACGCTGCGAGAACTGTCGTATGGTGACTACAAAGATACGTCACAAGCGATAGTCACTGTAAAACATTTAACGTAACCAGCTCATTTCCGAGCATCACACAGGAAATGTCCGATCGATCTTGATGTTTGCCATAGAAAGTGTTTGAACACAACTCGGCAGAATACGGAGATTTTTCATTCCACCGCAAAATATCAGGACGGGGCTAACTTCGCGGAGGTTTTCCCGCTCTAAGTCTGCGCGAAATTGTGCAAAATTTGCCGGACCGCGAGCGTCTGTTACCACTGAGAAGGCGAACGGTCAGATCTTACGTTTCTCGCGCAACGCGATGCAAAATGCGAACGCGCACAGCTTGGTGGCAAACGGATTTTGTATTCCCTCGGAATAAGCGCGAGGCTAATTTCGCGGACGTTTTCTCGTCTCGAACCGTCGCGCTAAACTCGGCCGACCACGAGCCTCTGCTACTACTGAAGGGGCGAGACCGGTCGAACTCCATGCAAATTTCGGAGTTTTACACGGCGAGCGAGCGAGCGGCTGTCTCCGCGGATAATATGCAGATGTACATGAACAAGGACGAGACGGTCGTCTATCATTGCTGTCGGAATGCCATTAACGAGTGACAGCACCGACTACTGCTAGGGTCAACCACGTTTGATCGAGAGAAGTACTCTTGCATAGCGGAGAACAATGGAAAGATTTGCGGATATTTTTTTGTTCCTTTTTATTTTGAACGACCTATGATATGATGAGAGGACACGTAGTGTAACGATTGGATACGACAAAAATGTCGAATTATTATATTTCGGGGGGGCAATTTATATATGATACAGATTCGCGTAGTGCACGGAATATTCACGCAATCCACGAGGGCATACCGCGTTCGCGCTGCGAAAAATATCCCTTGTTTTTCCGGGGTACAAGTATATATTGTAGATTACATTATTGTAATCTACAATATGTTTATTATCTACAATTGTAATATGTACAACATTTTCGACGAGATCTCTCGCGAGTAAATCGTGATATATTTAAATCGGGGTGAGAGTCAAAGATTGACTTAAAACGCGTCGGAATAAATAAAGGATTTCACGCGCATATCGCGTAGACTTTTACAGCGATCGTGCCATGCATCGGATGAAACAACAATGTTATCGGCGTGTATGAAAGAGGAAGAGAGGGAGAGAGAGAAACAACTCGAGCACGCAGAATGTCTGTTTTGCTCTGCTTATAGATCGATGCTGTGTATTGAAATATTCACGAGTAGCTCGATTGGCGTGAGCGCACGGCCACGTGGGAAGGGTAAAGCGCGAAATAACGGAAAGTGACGATTGCTAAGCATTTGCATCTACTCTCGCGTTGATGTAGGCGATTGCGCCGTTCGCCGGAAGTGCTCGAGTTTCTTATCGCACGATTCACGATCCGCTGTGCAAAAGCACCGTATTCCGTATCGCGGCTATTCGTGGACGTTGGACACATCGCATTCGCTCGACTCATCGCGTAGACGAACAGAGGAAAATAAAGTCAGAGTCACAGAGACGGTACACAGGCATTTGTGAAACACGTGTTCTCCGTGCAATCGATCGATCTCATATTGTAATATTCACACTACACGCGATTGACGGCAAAGTTCGGATTCGAGAGTCTTCCACCACAACGGGACGAGCCCAGCAAAGGAGCGGCTGTGACTTCATCAATCGCGAACACGCGACATTTGCACCTCGCTTCTATCAGTTTCGCACGAATCGCGTGCGAGCGAACGCTGGATAGCGAAGTTTTCTTCTTAATAGTATCTGCAACTTGCAAAGGCGATCTTCGAAACGACGCACGCTTCTCGGGCAAATTCATCAACGATTTCGCGACTAGGATGTTCCCTTTCGTGGACGCTCCGGTAAGTTGAAGTCGCGCGGAAAATAGCAACGTAACATCGATCGGCAATATCGAAAGAACAGCGATCGGTATCGCGAGCAAACACGTGTTCCGCGCGCACGGCAGGTCGATTTCAGCCTGCTGAAATATTCACACCTGTGACGCGACACACGCACACGTCGCAGATAAGATCCACGGGGCGACAGTGATAGCGCACATAATAGCAGTCCGGCGTACACTGCGCGGGATGAAAGGGAAGACTTTTCTACGAACAACGAGACACAGCCACAGGGTTGTAGAAAAACAGAAAGAGAAAAAGAGACATAGAAGGGTAGACAGATAGAAAGATAGAGAAAGACACACGTGTTCCACACGCGGTAGATCGATACTGTATTGAAATATTCACGGTGTAACGCGATGTGTGCCGCGGCGGCGGCGGCGATACGTCAAGGTCCCTCCACGAAGGTTATTATCTCCACTCGTTCGGGACGTGGTTGATTCAGGCATGCGACGCCACGCGACGTCTCCTTCGACGGCGTGATGCTCTCCGTCCGACACCTTTCGACCTCGGCCTCGAATCCGCTCTCTCGAGCCAACACGTTCCTGGAGACACGCACCCACGCTGGTACCCAAGCTAGTACGTTCTCTCGCGTCACCCTTGAAGGTCGCGGCAGGTCGCGCAAGAGAACGAGCGAGAGTGAGGAAGAAAGGGAAATAGAACGAGCGCGGGAACAACGCGGCACTCCTGGCGAACGGCACCCTCGCACTGCGAGGCATGCACGAGGCGTCGCGACGCTTCCCCAGGGCCGTCGAAACGGCGACCTCCCGCGACGCGCAACCCACGAGTAGTAGTAGTTGGATTAGTATTAGTAATAGCAGCAATAGAGCAGTGGACGCGAGGCCCGAGGAGTCAAATCGCGATGCCTACCTAATTCACGACCCGACCGAGTAATCGCACTCGCTATGCGAGCTTTCAAAGTAATTTCGCGATGTTGGAGGAACGACTGAAGAGCTAACCATAAAGCAGCGCGCATTTGGCGAGTGTTGCGCTAGAACGTTGGAGACGATAATATCTATTTTCGAAGACGCTTCTCTCTCTCTCTCTCTCTCTCTCTCTCTCTCTCTCTCTCTCTCTC